TAATCCTATACAGTAATGGAACTTCTGGAGTTGTCACCATATTTGGCTTCAAGATCTACTATAAAACTGTAGTGATGAAAGCAGTTTGGTATTAGCATAAAAACAGACATATGGATGAATGGAATCAAATTGAAGACCCTGGCATAAATCCACACTCCTATGAACACCTGATTTCTTACAAAGAAAGCCAAAATTATACAATGGAAAGAAGAAAACATCTTCAATAAATGGTGCTGGTGTAACAACGTCAACATGTAGAAGAATACAAATAGATCCGTATCTACTGCCCTGCACAAAACTCCAGTCCAAGTGGATCAAAGACCTCAACTAAGTCCAATTGCACTGAAGCTGACCGAAGAGAAAATGGGAAATGGCCTTGAATTCATTGGCACAGGAGACCACTTCCTGACTAGAACACCAGTAGCACAGACACTGAGATCAACAAACGGGACCCCTTGAAACTGAAAAGCTTCTGTAAAGCAAAGAACACTATCAATAAGACAAAATGTCAGTGTACAGAATGGGAAAAGATCCTCATCAACCCCACATCTGACACAAGACTGATATCCAAAATATAGAAAGATCTCAAAAAAAAAAAAAAAAAAAACTAGACATCAAAATACATTTTAATGGGTTATAGATTTAAACAGAATTCCCAACAGAAGAATCTCAAATGGCTGAAATACACTTAAAGAAGTAGTTAAAACCCTTTGCTATTAGGGAAATGCAAATCAAAATAATTCTGAAATACCATCTTACATTCTGTCAGAATGGCCAGGATCAAAAATGATAATGACAGCCTATGTTGGAGAGGATATGGAGTGAGGGGAACGCTCCTCCACTGCTGGTGGGAGTGCAAACTTGTGCAGCCACTTAGGAAATCAGTATGTCGGTTTCTCAGAAAACTGGGAATCAATCTACCTCAAGATTCAGCAATATCACTCTTGGGTATATACCCAAAGTATGCTCAACCATGCCACAAGGATATTTTTTTCAACTATGTCCATAGCAGCATTATTAATAATAGCCAGAACCTGGAAACAACCCAGATGCCCCTTGACTGAAGAATGGATAAAGAAAATATGGTATATCTATACAGTGGAATATCACTCTGCAGAATAAAACAACAACATCATGAAATTTGCAGGCAAATGGATGGAACTAGAAAAAAAAATAATCATCCTAAGTGAGGTAACCCAGATCCAGAAAGACAAACACAGTATGTACTCACTCATAAGTGGATAATAGATATAAAGCAAGGGATAACCAGACCACAATCCACAGCTCCAGAGAAGATACATAACAAGATGGACCGTAAGATATGGGCAGGGATCTCCCTGGGAAGAGGGCAAGAGGGTAGAGAGAAGGGGATGGGAGGATGGAAACATGAGTGATCAGTTTGATTGAACTGGGAGAGGGATGGAGGGGGAGAGTAATTAAATAGACATCTTGATAGAGGGGCCATTATGGGGTTAGGGAGAAGCCGGATGCCAGGGAAACTCCCAGAAACCCACAAGGATGACCCTAGCTAAGACTCCAAGCAATAGTGGAGAGGGTGTCTGAACTGACCATCTGCTGTGACCATTGGTGACTACTCTAATTGCCATCATAGAACCTGCATCCAGTACCTGATGGAAGCAAACACAGAGATTCGCAGCCTCCTCGTACAGGGCTGAGCTCCAGGGCTCCAGTTGAAGAGAGGGTGGAGGGGTCAAATGAGCAAGGGGGAGGGTTCAAGATTATGATGGGAAACCCACAGAGACAGCTGAGCTTGTGGTAGCTCATGGACTCGGATGGACAGCTAGGGGGCCAGCATAGGACTGACATAGGCCCTCTGCATCTGGGTGACACTTGTGTAGCTTGGTCTTTTGTGGGGCCCCTAGTAGTGGGACCAGGACCTGTCCGTGATGCAGGAACTGGCTCTTTGAAACCTATTCCCGATGGCAGTGCCTTGTTCAGCCTCGATGCAGGGGGGAGGAGCTTGTTCCTGCCTCAACTTGATATGCCCTGCTCTGTTGATTTCTGCCGGAGGCCTTCCTTACCCCGCCTGAGTGGAGACAAAGAAGGAGTGGCTGGGGGAGGGAGCAGGGGGAGAGGAGGGAGGGGAAAACTATGGTTGGAGTGTAAACTAAAGTAAAACAATAAACACATAATTTTATAAACCTCAGTGGTTAAATGCATGGCACCAAAGGATGGAAAGTGTCTCCGAAAGTGTTCTAGTTCTCGTTGTGTCTTCTTACCTCTCCGTTTGTCCCCTTCCTTTCCATCAAGAAACAAATCCCAACAATGTATCAAAGAATAAAAACAGTATACTGCTATGCACAGCTGTGCTCCAAGGACACACTAATTTGCACTTCTGTCCTTCATTTTTTTTTTTTTACCCCTTTTGAGCAGAAATTCGGGAAGCATCCACGCTTTAACTTGTTTAACTTCTCCAGCTTAGCCTTGCCTGGGTAGATCACGCCAGTAACAATGTCCCTGGAATAGACAGACAGCTATGCAGACTCAGCGATGCAGATGCCGACAGGTGCACGGCCGCTGTGGGCCGCTAGGGGGCAGCCCCTGAAACCCGAGCCAGGACGGGAGGCTAACCCTGGCCTTGGAGGCATCAAGCCAGTCGGAGCCAGATTCCGGATCTGGAGGCGCAGCTGTTGGGTGACGTTCGCCCTGAAATCTGGTTAAATGGAGATTTGGGAGTTTGCTTTTTCTCCCTTGGACCATCAACAGCCTTGCAGAGAGTCCTCTCCCCACGCCACGTGGGGTGGGGTCTGGAATCAGGCAGATCTGCGGTAGCCTGCTCGAGGTGAGATTAGAGTCACGAAGTTCAGCTGGCCAGCCTGGTTGCAGGAATAAATAGCTCATCTTCCCGAAGGCACCGCCTCCGGCACGGCCCCGCCCCTAACCCCTAACCAGCCGCTTTGCCTGAATACCCCACCCAACCGGACAAGCCACGTTCCCGGGTAGCAACCCCGAGAAGCTCCGCCCCCAAGACCCAAGGTGACCCCGCCCACGGAAGCCCGGCTCCCAAGAAAGCCCTTCACCGGGACCAGCAGCTTCCGCGATAGCCCCGCCCCCAAGCCACACCCCGGGAGGCCCCGCCCCTAGGTAGCCCTTGGCTGGCACAGCTCTCCTCCAGTCTGCAGCTACAGTCTGCAGGCGCAGCCAGCCTCTCCGGGTGCGCCCTGGGGTGGGTGGGGCGCTGGTGCTGGGAGAGAACCCCTAAAGTGCCAGAAGGCTACCTGACGCCATTGCTGACCGCCAGAGTGTCCTCCTCAGGTCTGTTTTCCTCTCAGCTTCGTTTATCCCGGCACGGTTTCCCAGCTCACTCAGACCTGGTCTGTCTCCGCCTTTCTGAGCTGGGAGTCGCGAACTTCATAAAGGCGTGTGCCGGTGCGCGCAGACGCGTTTAGCTGCAGGGCGGTGCGCCTGTCGTCTCGGGGGCCCAGATTACCCTCGAGGCTTTTGTTCCTTTGCTCTTCCCGCCAAACTAGGGGAAAGTGAGAGGACTTTCTTCCCAGGCAAACTTAACACGTCGTTGGATTTGAGGTTCCTGATGATAAAAGTTGAGGTTCGTTTTCCTAGGAGCAGTCTGTGCCATGAAGTAGGATGGGAAGCACGCAGGGGCGTGCCAAGGCCAATACTTTTCTCTGCGCAGGGAGTGGCTGGGACGAGGGCTCTGTAAGGTTCTTAGTCAAGAAGGTGGGAACCGGTTCTGCAGGCTTAGACCAGGTCAGTGCAGCCCCGGAGTGGCTGTGAGCTAAGTGGACTGGTCCATGAGGGCCATGAGAGGAGCCTAGCCCAGTGGGCTAGTTTGTAAGAACAGGAGGAATGAAGGAGACGAGAGGGGCGGACGCCAAGAGGCTGATACCTTCAGGTTCTCCCTGCATGCTTATTTGGGAAGAGAGGTACTGTGAACCAAAGTGAAGAATCTGGGTAAAGCAAATAAGAGAGGAGGGAACAGAGAAAGAGCTGTCTGGAACTGAGCCCTTCCTGGGACCCTCCTAGGATGCACCTCAGGAAGGCACTGGGCAGTTTCCTCCAGTACCAGAAGCTAAGTAACTTAGGGTATCAATCAGCTTGCAGCCATTGAAGGGCTGCCCTGTCAGTCACGCGAGTGGATGGGCTACTCAGATGTGGGGATTGAGATGATGTGTGGGTCCCCAGCCATATGTCCGTGGCCTCCCTCCCCTTCCCTCCCCCCCCCCCCGGGAAATGGAGAGGAGGAAGAGGGTGGGGGGCACTCACATGGCTCAGTGTGCCTGGACCATGTGTAGTCTAATTTACAAAACAGCCACACACACGCACACGCGCGCGCACACACACACACACACGGAAGGGAGTTCTGGAGTGACCTCACGTGTCTGCACACAGGCTTCAGAAGAATTAGAAACAGCCTCTGGCCAACAGTGGGGAGGCGGGCGCTTCCCGCTAGGGCAGATAGGATTTTGAAAGCCATTTCCATCAGTGCAAGCAACGCTGTCAGAACTAATGAAGTTCCTCACATGTCATGTGGCCCCAACTAGTGCAGTTTCTGGCAGAACATGGAACCCTTCTTTCTGTCTGTCCAATAAAAAAAAGACACTAAGTCCACTCCTCCTGCCTTTGAGCTACCAGGCCATTTAAGAACGTGCACTGACTTATCTACCCCAGGTGCTATTTGCCTTTGCCCTACATGCCACTGCTGCCCCCGTGTGCCTCTTACAAGCAGCGTGTTCTTCCCAGGCCTTTGCTGCCATTCGATCTAAAGCAGTCTTCCGGTTGACTGGTCTGAATCTCACCACCACATAGCACTGGAAAGTGATGCGTTTGTATAAGCCTGCTTATTTGTCTCCTCTACTCTTATATATTTGAGTCATGAAAATGGGGTTGTAACAGTTTGCACGCACAATGCATTTAGTTGCTTGGTTTTTGTTTGTTTGTTTGTTTGTTTGTTTTTCTGGTCCCTCGATCTGTTTTGACCAACCAGAGTCTCTGCTTCCTCTGCAGCAGCTGGCAGGACCATGGCAACAACTCCCGACGCCGCCTTTGAGGCCCTCATGAATGGAGTAACCAGCTGGGATCTTCCCAAAGAATCCATCCCTTGTGAACTCCTTCTCACTGGGGAGGCCGCCTTCCCAGTGATGGTGAATGACAAGGGACAGGTGCTCATTGCTGTCTCTTCCTATGGCCAGGGCCGCCTGGTGGTCATGTCCCACGAGGGCTACCTGCTGCATGCTGGCTTGGCCCTATTTCTTCTCAATGCAGTGAGGTGGCTCCGCCCCTCCCCAGGGGCTCACATTGTAGTGCATCCCTCCTTGGCATCTCTAGTGGCTCTGATCTACAGGCACTGGTTCAGCCTGAACCTGGAGAGACTCTGGGTGTTTACTGCACTGATGCCTACAGTGACACCGTGACTGAGAAGCTGGTCCAGTTTGTGAAGCGTGGTGGGGGCTTGCTCATTGGCGGCCAGGCCTGGTACTGGGCCAGTCAACATGGCAGTGGCAGGGTGCTGTCCAGTTTCCCTGGGAACCAGGTGACAAGCGTGGCCGGAGTGTACTTCACAGATGTCTGTGGGGATGTAAATAGGTTCAAGATCTCTAAGAAGGTACCCAAGATCCCAGTCCATATCAGGTGAGTGCCACTACAACCCCTTACACTTCTAACTCTTTTTAAATAGTGCTGATGTCCCTTCTTCAGTGTGTGTCCATTTCAATGTGAGTGATTGTTTTCATGCAGCTTTTTTAACTGCTGCAAATCAAAAGCGCGATCGCCAAAATGCATAAGAAAGGCTGGTCCTTCCAGGCACTCCCTTCTATGGAAAGGCAATTGTCTATCCACTTAAGACAAAAGTTTGCCCTCTTTGACTTTGTGCCTGAAACACAGAGTGCTTATCAGTGTCCTAAATGAGTCAGAAAGCAGTGGTATGTCTATATGAACATCTGCAGCTGGGTCCAGCCCTAGGCTGGACACTGGGAACGAAGCAGAAATCAAAACAGACGTTGTGCTGTGCGCTGCCCTGAAGCTCACATATCAGTGGAAAAATAAGCAAACCGACAGGTAGGAATTCCATCAGATGCTGATAGGAGCCACAAGAAGGGATTTTAACAGCGAGGAGAGTAAAGCCTGTTTCACCTCCCTAGGGAAGGCATATCAGTCCAGTTTGGTTGGAATTCTGTAACACTTCAAGCACAAGAAATTTAGCATGCAAAGCCCATAGTTCAGGTGAGAGAATATTAGAAACCCACGTAGGACTGGACCTCAGCCCAAATAGCAGGACAGACTGAAGGAAATGGTGGCATTGCTGAGGCCCACCAGGCGTGCTGTTCACCTTATAGACGCTGGACTATAGACATGATCAATCAGCCAGGCAGGAGTAAGATCCCAGATGAGCGGTCAGACGGGTGCTAGCTGAGGTCCTGGAGAAGACATGGTGTTTAATCAAGATAAAACCCAAAGAAACCACCAACCTCAGGACCTCCTTCCCTCTTGCTTCACTGGATAAATAGCCTCTGTCTGCCCTGAGCTGAACTCCCCAGGGTTAGGGTACGGGAGCCCGGTAAACACAACATACAAGATGGCGGAGTATAGACAATGGCAATAAGTGTAAACAGGCAAGAGATGGACAAGAGGGACCCTATGGCTGGTGAACACTGAAACAGACCATGGGGAGCTGCTGATGCCCTGTCTAGGATAATGAATGCAGTGTGGACCGCTGCAAAGATCTATGGCTGCGGTTTTGCTCCCGAAATAGGATCCAGCGGTCAGGGCCAGTGGATTGGATGCGGAGCAAGAAATGGAAAAGAGGAATTGATATTTTTGATCGTAGTGATCAAAGATGATGTCATTTACTGAGACTAGAGTGGATCTAGAGCTTAATTTTAGATTTTTTTGGGGGGGAGGGTTGAGGTATTAATGACCAATTGTGCTTTTTCCATCTGTGAAGAATTTACCGTAGTGGATTAACAATTTATGATTTTGTAGTTCCTATGAAACATGAAGCCCAGGTAGCCAGTCCAGGATTAAGACGGTTTCTCCATGCTACATGCTTCCCTCTCTGTCGTCATTTTATTACTTTTACCTTTGTTACAAAACAGCCAGCACTGGTCCAGGCTCTAGAATTACCCCCAGGCAATTGTTGCTGGAGTAGACACACTAGCTGGGTCTGTCATGTTTTTTGGTTGTTTTGTTTGTTTGTTTGTTTGGTGGGTTGGTTTTCCTTAGAAAATAATCTATTTTCTTGCAGTCCTGACCATTAAATGGATCTCCATTGATGTTTTAGTGAGCAAAACTTAATCCGGTGGTCAAATTTAACCACCAGAGGGTCTGAGGATATGCTTTAATGGGCATCTCTAAAGTCCTGCCCCAGGGGAGAAAGGGAATGTTAGTGTTGAGTGAGCAGATAGCAGTGCCCAGGGCCCTCAGCCCCTGGATGGTGCATGAGACTGTTCCCTACAGGGAGGGAATGGGGATGGGGTTGTTAACCAGGCACACAGAGGTGAATCTGATTTGCTCTAAGCGTTGACTCTACAGCCAATCGGCAAGCTCAATCCTGAGGGCCAGCCCCCTGTTTTTGTACATACGGTTTTACCGGAGCAAGGCCATGAGCATGTATTTCCATGGCTGCTTCTAAGTTACAGTCTCCCCTCATCGGAGACCATGCACCCCAGAGCATCGACCTGGCCCTTTCAATGCCTCCGGACATGAGACTTCAGAAGCATAGGTCTCTCACTTGCCTCAACCAATTCTCCCTTGCAACTAAGGAAGTCTGTTTCCCTCCTATACTTTCCGTCTCTGAAGTTTCCTAGATTTGTTCTTTTAAGTTTCATTTCCTGTGGAACTTCAAGTATACACAAAAGTAGAGAGCAATACAGTGTTCTCCTGGGCAGTTACAGCCCAACACTGAGAATGGTCAACTCGTGGTCAGTCTTGCCCATCTACCGCTAGAAACTGTAGTCAGCGGAGGGAAATGGCAGAACAGATGCACGCCGACCTCACGTGGTAAGAGCGTCTATTCTGAGAGGTTGGCTCCCCAAACCCTGCGACTCAGTACGGGAAGGCCCAGGAGAAAGCACTGTGCAGGGGCTGAGAGGCAGCTTCTGTGCTGGAAAATAGGGAGGGTCTGGCTTCAGCAGGCCCGCATCAGATATAAGCACATACGTGATAAACCAGACTGTCTGTTTTTGTCGCTTCCTAGCTCCAGGCTCTCAAGTTCCATGGACAGCCGGCGTCTTTTGAGCCTGTTTTCTATGGCCCTGGTTTGGGAGTAAGGAGCTTTCCTTTAATCTACGGCTGCATCTCAAATTATCTTGAGAACATAGCCACAGAGATGTCATCGGTCCTTTCCACAACCATCACAGGGCTCCCTGACAGTTTGCTGCGTGAGCTTTTGGGTCGCTCATGTGCATTTCTTGTCTCAGAGCTGGTGTCAACGGTTTGTCAAGGGATTCTGTTCCTTTTGTGGGATGCGTTTGTTGGTACTAAGATTGTTGTCTGTAGGCCTTCCAAGTGATCAAAACTAAGAAAGACCTCCCTGTTTTAGGATCAATAAATATATCAGAGTTCAAACTGACGCTCCTCATTTGAATTGAGAACAACGGGGATTTTAATATCTGTAGTCTCTTTTTTTGAAGGACGTTCTTTTTTTTTTTTTTTCCCATTTTGTAAGACACTACTAATATAGCAAACCACTTGCTTTACCTTAATATACACCCAGCAGTTGCAAAATTCAAATGGCAATACTACCAAACAACAAAATGATTGTGGAACTGCTGACTGACAGGAATTCCAAGGAGTATTTGCTAGCATTGGCACGTTCACTTTGTAGGCTGGTTTCTTTTTTTTTTTTTTTTTTTTGCATATAGAGTATTTTTTATTTAATTTTATATAACAAAGTCCAATTAAATGAAAACAAACATTTATACACAATATTTGGGAATTTGGGCGTCGTTCTTTCCAAACTACTTCCTGCTGGTAAGGGGCGCTGTCTTGGGGGATTCGAAGAAGATTCAGATATCCTAGCTGTAGTCTGTAGGGCTGTTTTGTCCAGCTGTTTGGAATGTAGGATCAGCTTGTACTCTGTTTCAGGCGGTCTGGTGTGATCAAACCACATTAGTCTGGAAGGAATCCACATCTTTTCATTTTCTGTGGAAACAAAAATAGAAATACTTTTCCCCAGTAACTTGTTCTTCAACTTAAATTTTGGAGTCAAAGCGTTTTTTTTTTTTTTTTTTTTTTTTTTATTTTATTATTATTTTACATGTCGATCCCAGTTCCCTCTCCCTCCCTCCCTCCCTCCCCCCAAGCCCTCCCTCCCTCCTTCCCTCCCTTTTGCCCTCTCTACCCTCTCCCATGCACTCTAAACACCCTCCCCTCCCAACCCCCCACCACAATACAATATGTAGGGGAATGCCATCCAGTTGGGGTCATGTAGATCTGACAGGTCCTGTGAAGTAGGGACTAGGGCTTCTCTCCTATCTCTAGAATAAGGCAGTTATCCCTCCATGGGGGATATGTTTGCAAAGTCCTTTTGTGCACCAGGGATACATCCTGGCTCCACTGTCTGAGGTCTCTTAGACTGCTCAGACCTTCTGGCTGAGACCCATATTCAGGGGAGTCCGAGTCAGACCTCTGTTGGCTTCCCAGCTATCAGTCTAGTGGTAGGCTGGTTTCTTAAGGAGAGAGATAGAGAGATAGCGATTTCCCCTTTGCAGGTTGGGTTTACCAAGAGATTGACTCAGACCGACAATAGCGTGTGGGAAGTCCCTTAAAAAATGCTCCCACTGGGGGAAAAGAATCGAGAACTGTGGGACCGGGGAAGAAAATAGGAAAATAGCAGCAAATATTTCTTAGCAGCAAACGGTAGCAATGATTATTTCCATGCATTTCACCCTCGTAGCATATTTTCCTAGGTACATATTAAGTTAGATCAGTGTCCTTTGGTGCCCTTTAGAACAGTTCCCCTTTATGTGTTTATACCACTGGGTACCTAGAAATGTCCAGACACTTGTTTATTGGCTTTTGCTATTTAACTTTTCAGAATTGTACCAAATAGTTCTGTAGCGCTCTCTCTCTCTCTCTCTCTCTCTATATATATATATATATATATATATATATATATATATATCAAGTTTTAAACATATATTCTCTGCCCACATGCGAGTCCTTTCTCCCCTCCCTGTTTAAATCCATCAGTGCTGCATTATTTCTTCATATGCGTGGGCAGACGTGTGCATATGTATCGGTACTCTCCTTCAGAGAGCAGTGTTACACACTGTCCATTTTCCTCGATAATATCCTGGGTTATCAAGCTGGGCAGGGTTACATAACAGAATGCCAAACATGCCCTGCATGTTCTATTGTGGTTCCACGTGTACATATCATATAATCTATTTTTTTTTTTCTTTTGGTTTTTCAAAATAGGGTTTCTCTGTGGCTTTGGAGCCTGTCCTGGAATTTGCTCTGTAGACCAGGCTGGCCTGGAACTCACAGAGATCCGCCTGCCTCTGCCTCCCGAGTGCTGGGATTAAAAGTGTGTGCGATCAGGTCTTCTTAGTGTATTTATATGTGTTAAACAATCACTGGCATGCTACCAGCTATCAGACACTGTGTTAGCTAGTGCATTGGTGATCCCTTTAAACTTCCGGAAATAGATGTGAAACTGTGGCTGTGAGAAGGAAAGTAGCTTTCCAATGATTATCTAGTTACTGTGCCAAAGTACAGTGATCCAACTTTGGCTTGTCAAAGTACCGAGTGACCCACTCCCTGGACCATAGGAGCTGTACGCAAGCACGGAATCCAAACCTTGAGGTAGCTGATTTCTGGAATGGCCTCTCCGCACACTGAAAGCTTTCCACTGGCAGCTGTCAGAAGAAGGCGGAGGGACATTGAGGGCGGCCTGTGTTGTTAGGGGTTCTTGTAACTCAGTGTCAGGACGACTCAGAACAAAGCTTGATCCCCTAAAAGGGGAAAGAAACGAAACTGAACCCATGCGACGTTCGCTGAGCTTCTTTGAAAATGAGATGATGAAACTGAAAGCTGAGACATGATGTTTGCTTTGTTCTGCGTGGATATGGATTTGAGGGGGAACACGGCACAAGATGGACAGGGCACCGTAGTGTTTTACCGCTTAAATGAGCTAATTTTACTTCTAAAAGTATTTGACTCTTATTTAAAAAGCTTGTTGTTTTTAAAGTGGAAGTGATAACATTATATCAAAATGATTTGAACGTCCGGTAACTCTAATAGGATAATCCCAGAAGACATTTTCACTAATGGGGGTAGATCCTGTTCCAGTGTCTAGTTTTAGGATTTTAGCATTTTTAAAATTTGACTTAGTCTCCTAGAGGTCTATTTTTTTACATTCCATTAAGCCTTTCCCAATACTATCTAATTACTGGTTTACTATATAGTGTTGATATGATTTATTTAATCCATCTCCTTTTGTTTGACACTTAATATAGCTAGAAAATGTGTGTTTTAATTGTTGAAATACAAAATCTCCTTTAAAAAATATTATTAATGTTGATCACTTCTCAGTAAAACAGACACACACTCACACACACACACACACACACACACACACAACTAAACTCTCGTATAAGATTTAGGTAAGGATGTTTAAATTTCTTGAGTATGTATGTGTGTGGGTTCACATGCCATGGTCAGAGGAGTTGGTTCTCTCCTTCCAGGGATTGAACTCAGGCCATCAGGCTTGGTGACAAGTGCCTTTACCCTCTGAACCATATCTCTTGCCCTAAGTAAGAATTTCTAAAAGATATATAGCTATATAAATCAAGTAGAAGTAAAAATAAAAATGACTTGTAACATGTTCCTATTTCTGAGCAAACCTGGAAGAGCGCTGTGTGTGTGATGTGTCTCAAGTTTTACACCTGATCTTATAAATGAAGACTTATTCCAGGGGAGGTATAGGGTGGGTGCTGTCTCTATCCAATATGCTGGGTTTCCCAGCTTTGTTTATATGCTTTGATGATGTTTGAGACACCCAAAATTTGAGCCAGGATATTCACTTGGCTGACTAATGTCCAGAATTGTTGTAAGGGTTCATTTGGAGAATGTGAATTTTAATATATATGAATAAGATCACCTCCTCTCTCTTCAAATCTATGATAACCTCAATTATGAGACGCACTGGTGTTCTGTGTGTTGCTGAGAAAGAGCAAACATGAACAGTGATATGCGATTAACTGTGAGTCCATGAAAAAAAAGAATGAATTATGTTGATAAGACACACGCTGTTAAATCCTCAGATACTATTAGTGAGAGATGAAGATTGGTGTGAACAATGTCATCTTTCTCTACTTGCTGGCTAGAGTGAACGGCTCGTTAGCTGACTACAGTTCCTCCATCTCTTTCATCTTCTTCCCAGGTGTTGGGAGGAGCTCGGGCATGACCAGGAGCAGCTTCTGGATGGCATCTCTAAGTTGGACATCAAGACTGGCGGTGTCCCCTCACAGCTGTTGGGTCCCTGGCCTTCCCTCTGGGCCGCGATACCTCCCTCGGCTGCTTCCTAGCAGCTGCCCGCTGTGGCCGTGGCCGTGTGGTATTGGCTGCCCATGAGGCCCTGCTCTGTGCTCCTAAGATGGAGTCCTTTTTATTTAATGCTGTATGTTGGTTGGCCAGAGACCAGAGAGGCTGTATTGGGGTGAACAGAAGCCTCTAGAGTCTGCATTCCCTATTGTTGGATTGTGGCTTGAATTGCCGCCTGGACTCGCGTTTGACCAGTGTGTCTACTGCTGTGGGGCTTACAGTGACCAAGATGCCAAGAAGATACAGGAGTTTGTTGCTGAGGGTGGGGGGTTGCTCATTGGTGGCCAGTCCTGGTGGTGGGCTTCCCAGAACACAGGCAGCTCTGCTTTGGCTGGTTTCCCTGGGAATGCCATCCTCAACACCTTTGGCCTCAGCACCCTGCCCCGGAGCCTCAGCCCAGGCTGTTTCCCTGTCCTTCCTACAGAGATCAGAAACTAACACTTTCGAAGGGCTCTCGCTAAGTTTCAGGCTATGATGGACCACAGAGGTGGGAACTTGGAAAAGAAGGATTTGGTAAGGTTGGGAGTAGATACTGCAGGGTTCCTGCAGATTCCTGCATGGGGAGTCCCTGCTTATATGTCCTTGCACCGGCTACTGAGGAAGATGCTGCGACAGGCAGGCCTCCCGGCTGTGAGCAAGAAAAATCCAGTTTCCAGCAGCTCCTGTGAGGCAGCAGTGCTCCACCTGGCCACCCACCCGGAACATTCTGGGACTGATTGCTCCCAGCTAGCCCAGGACCTTGGCTCTCAGATCTGCTCCTCCAATCTCCGCCCCTCGGAGCATCCCATCACTGTGGAGATCAATGGAACCAACTCCGGTACAGAGAGTGGGCAGAGTATCCTTGGCCTGGGAGAAGGTGGGTTTGGAAGACTTTGCAGGACCTGGAAGGTTCTGGTCCTCGGAATGGGTAGCTCCATGCTTTTCCGGAGACTTCCAAGCCGACAGGAGCTGGGGTTTTGTGCTCGATCAAGGCCAAGGAGGAAAGGGCACGGGACGTGTGGGTGGCCTGGTGGATGACTTGGAATCCGTGGAAGAAAGGTTGCATCTGTGGGAGGCTCCAGGTAGAGTCAGGCTGTGGAGGAACGTGGAACTCAGCCTTCTCTCTTGACTCGTCAGGCAACAGTGATGCCCGTCAGGCAACAGTGATGCCCATCAGGCAACAGTGATGCCTGGGTGAGCACCGGGCTTGACCTTCTGGAAGGACAAAGTGCAGAGGTCTCTCTCTCTGAAGCCGCTGCTGGCCTGAAGGTAAGGCTAGACACCTGGAGCCAACACCTGCCCAACCGTGGCCAAGACTCCCCCCACCACAGAGTCCTTTCTACCTCCTCTACTGCGTTTATTCAGAGGAGCCTATTGTTGGTTACTCTACCCCTCTGCTAAATGTAGCAGCACAAAGTCCAAGCTACTAAGACCCAAGCTCGCTCCTAAGCCTGATCTCCATGTGGGACAGTTTTACCTACTTAGAGGAACCAGTTTTCCTGACAGCAGAGACCCCGAGCTTGACCCCTTCACCATGACACCTGAAGGGTGCCCTTGCGCTTAATCCCATTACCTGCGTAGTGACAGAACTGAAATTCTTCTGCCCTCTCAGTTCTGAGCATCATTTCCTACCGCAGTGAGGGGCTCTTATGCCAGCGCTCTGAGATACCAGCTGTGTCTGCTTCGATCGGACAAAAGCAAAAGGGTAACTAACCCCACAGAGCTTGCAAGAGTGAGCTGGGCAGGCAGAGGGGAGCAGGTGAGTTCTCTGCCTCCTGGCCAGACTCTGCAGCACCTGGACCGACTTCTTGTGTGTGCTCACAATGGATAGGTGGGATGCCCTGCCTCAGAGCAAACATGAGACCCACCCTGCTGTTTAAGTTTGATGTAAGAGCCTGAGTGCTCCGGTTCCATAGACTGTGTGCATCCATCATAGAAAAGGGAAATTAGGGTTCCACATATAACCTCCACCATCCATATGCCTCTAACAAAACCCTACATGCTTCTTTGGGTGTTTTGACTCCCTTCATGTGGTACAATCATCTGTCCAGGTGCAGATTGGATGTCACACAGATGACCTAAGCAAGGCCAGGAAGCTGTGCCGAGCACCTGTGGTAACTTACCAGTGTTGTATGGACAGAACCCAGTGGTCAGTCTCCTGCCTCTGGGGTGGCCTCCTGTACATCATTGTGCCCAGGGGCTGTCAGCTTGGCCCCATCTCTGTTACCATCAGGAAGGCAGTGCCTGCTCGGTGAGTAGACTAGGCATTGAGGGGAGACTGAGCTGCTGTGCCTTGGTGACTCTGGGGTTGCTATGGAAGAAGGAGAAATAACAAGAAGCCACAGAGGGGACGGGGCGGGAGGTAGGGTCACCCTGTGTCTACGGAGACTCTGGGTACAACGGAGAGGGGCCTAGCAATTTCTCCATCACCACGGCCTGTTGTAGCTGGTCACTGTTTCTGTGCTTTCCTTCTGGAATTCCACTCCTGTCTGTCTGTCTGTCTGTCTGTCTGTCTGTCTGTCTGCCTGCCTGCCTGCCTGCCTGCCTCTGTGTGTATATGTATCTGCCTGTCTGTCTTTCTCTGTGTATGTGTATGTGTCTGTCTGTCTGTCATCTGTCTGTCTGTTTCTCTCTCTCTCTGTGTGTATGTATGTGTCTGCCTGTCTGTCTTTCTCTGTGTATGTGTATGTATGTGTCTGTCTCTGTGTGTGTGTGTGTCTGTCTGTCTCTGTCTGTCTGTCTGTTTCAGTGTATGTGTGTGTGTGTGTGTATGTGTCTGCCTGTCTGTCTTTCTCTGTGTATGCTGTCTGTCTGTCTGTCTCTATGTTCAAAGACAAATGCTATGCATTTCCAGGTAAGACAACCCTGGAGGAGTGGAAGAGCCCAGGATGGGCCCCTGGGGAGAGCTGGCTACAGACAACATCATCCTGACAGTACAAACTGAAAGCCTCAAAGCTCTGGAGGACCCAGAGCCTCTGCTCCAGCTCTGGGATGAGATGATCCAGGCCATAGCCAGGCTGGCAGCCCAGCCCTTCCCTTTCCAGAGGCCTGAGAGAATTGTCACTGATGTGCAGATCTCAGCTGGTGAGTGCTCCAGGGGAGTGCTCCTAGTGAGCAAACTCTATCTTATTATTATTTTACCTTCCTTGTAGTGCTCAAGAATTGTATTGTGTAATTTTGTAATTAAAATGCAAAGGATTGGGGTAAGGACATAACAGCATGGACCATGATGGGAGTGGAAGATGTTTACATACAAGAGGTCAATCATTGACGTCTTACAAGATGCAATTTCTTAAGGCAGAAACTTGGTTCATGCACTAGGGATAAATACTGGTTCCACTGCCAGAGGCCCCATAGACTGCCCAATCCCCCCAACTGACACTCATGTCTATGGGCTTAGTTCCGTCTTATCCAGGTTCTCCAGCTCAGACTGGGCTCCCACTTGCTCAGGTCAGCTGTTTCTGTGGGTTTCCCCAGCAGAATAGCCATTGTTTGGTTATGCTTTTTATCTCTCACCTTTATGGAATGAGTGACAATTACCAGTCTCTTACAAGACAAGGACATGTCTGTTTGACAACTTCATTACAAGTAGGTATTGTAAAAAACATATCTACTAACAAGGTTCCCAGGTGTTGACTACCTCACTAGAAGCAGAAGCATTGTTTGAATAAATAATGACCAACCAATAGGAGAGCAATAAAGTCATAAAACTAGTCCGTTTCCTGTGGAAAAGCATCTATTTCTTTCGCCTCCCAAAAGGGAAAAGAAAAAAAAACAAAACAAAAAAAAAAAAAAAAAAACATGTTTCCATCTTTCATGGCCGGTCATCAAAGCTCCTGCAACTCTGTGCAGAAGGTTTATATAGCTCACTATCATAGAGGTTCACACACCATAAGTTAAGAATTTAACTGACTTGTTCAAAAGCACACAAAATGACAAATCTCGAACTTAGAATCGGGGGTTAACAGGAGTTCCTGACATTTTACACTGCCACGCTCTATTTTTTTTTCCTTCGCTGATTTTGAAGAGTGAATGAGATATGGTCTCAGTCACTGGGCAACTCTACTCAGTCAGGCTAGGGAGAGCTCTTATGATCTGGGTAACATATTAAAAAAAAATAAAGCTAATAATAGTAACTGTCTTTTATTGAGTGACTCTGCACGTAGAGCTCTAGAGGGCATCGTTGCTAGATTGAGGGGCAGAGTTTGATTGCTAGGAGCTGCTGTGATCCAGTAAAGTAGCATTTGTATGGAGACACAGGACTAGAGGTGGGAGAAACGATGGGTTTGACGCAGATGGGAACTCATCCCCGATATCGAGATAATGCCTAATGACCATGGCCATAGGCAGCATTCATGTTGGCAAACTCAACACCCGTATTCTTCCGATTCTTTCTCTTTCCAGCTCCAGGAGGCCTTTGGGTGGGAGCCATTCATGCACCTCTTTGCTGAATACCAAACTCTTTGTAGCATCCCCCAAGACAATGAGATCAAGATGAACAAGTGGATGAAGCTGTTCTCTGAAACCGTACAGAAGAACCTGGTCCCTTTCTTTGAAGCCTGGGGCTGGCCTGTCCAGGAGGAAGAGGCAGGATCACCCTCTGAAAGGGTATATGAATACATGAGTGTGGAGGAGTAAGGGATGTGGATCAGGGGTGGGGTGGGGCGGGGCCGGGCGGGGGCGTGGTGAGGAAGGATCATATTGTCAACTTCACCATTGTGTTCTAGCTTGAGACACTCACTGCCTTATCTTTCTCAACCATTTTGTCTTTAAGATGTATTTTTGGGGTTGTTTTCGATATCATTCCAAGCTCCCTTTACAGCCCAGAGTCCTTTGTAATAATGACCCTAGAAAATGTTCCTCATCCCATCAGCACATCCTCAACTCAGGGACCATTTCCTTAGACGTTAATGTCCCCTGGGTGTTTGGCAGGTGCTTTGCTTTGCACATGCAAGGAATTAAGGAAATACTCCCTGTATGAAAGAACACCAAGCTCTCCTGACATGGATGGAACAATCCGTCCATTGTCCCGGGAACTCTATACAGCATTTTCTGAGTTGCGTGGATAACATTCCAGCAGACTTCCAAGGCAGATCCAGTTAACCTCACCTCATCATACAGGAGAAAGAGACATGGATCTTAAACAACCTCTGCAGTCAGAACCCAGGAAGAGGAAATACCAGGTTTTGGCAGATGTCTATAACAATGATAAACTGTAGAGCTTGTCCTCAACAGATTTATGATTTTCACAAAAATGTGCCCAGAAGAGAGCTGAAAGTTTAATGACTTCTAATTTCTTTCTTCCTCCTCATTATAGCATTTTGACTAAATATCATATTGAATCTCTAAATGGTTTTGGCATCCGATATTCTCTTTGCCTCAGCACAGACTCTCGTCTGCCTTAGGGGGACCCAGCCTTGGGAAGGCATTGAACCAAGGCATTTCATTTCCCAACCCGGTGGAATCTTTCATTGTGATGGGAGGAAGGGGTGAGTAGAAGGATAATTCTGGAATTAGCAGGTTACCTAGGAGACAAAACTAAAACCTAAGCTTGTATAAGATTCTCCATGTAGGACCTCAAACCCTGTGGTGGTTTCTTCTCATTCCTGTAGACAGATGGTGGCTTTGCCTCTTGTTTTAATGTTCATGGTTTTTTGTTGTCTGTGGATGCAACATCTACAGATTACTCTTGGATGCATAAAAAAAAAAAATTCTGCCCACAGTTTTTTTGTTCTAAGTTTAGAAACATAATTAGGATAAACATATCCAAGAATAGTAAGTCCGAGTATAAGCGCAGGGGTTGGGTGGGGTCATGAAATCCCACCCCCCACCCCACTCCTGCTGAAGAGAGTTTGGCAATCTATGGCTGCTGAGTGGGGAGTCAGCTCCCTTCAGAGCTGTGGCCCCCAGAGACTACCTATGACTTGCATCCACTCGCTTACAGGCAGCATTCAAACAATGAGCACACGAATGTGGGAGGGAGCAGATGTTTGGAGGTAGAAGAGGAGCCGGAAGGAAATGGGAGTGGTTTCCATCAAAGCACCTTCATTACATGCATGTATGGAATTCTCAAACAATAAAAACGAACAGTAAGCTAGACGCAACCCGGCTTTTCTCAATGGGAATTTGTCCTTGTGGTTTCTCTTAAACCAAACACGTTGGTTGGGTCGCCTCTTGTATGGGGCATGGGATTTACTGGTGTGGGTCTCTCTCATGAGCTACCTTCCTACTTGGAGGGTCACACCTCTATCAGTTGTCTGCAATACAAAAAAGGCAGGTTGGTTTGGAGTGGGTTGATTTCCTTGTAGCAGAAGTGGGTGCAGGATCCACGCTGGGCACGTCTGACTCGTACCTTCTAACCTCAGCTCAGTTCAAGTAATGGAGGTTGGTCTAGGTCAGGCTGTTGAAGTGCTAGTCACAGACTTTTCCTGCATAGACTGGGAAGCAGATATCACCTTTGGTACTGGGGAGAAAAGTTTCATTTGCTTGCCCAAAGACTTAATCATTGCAGCTAGACCAAGAGTCGGTGGAGGGATGGTTATTCATTTATGTTTTGGTTTAGAAGTTTCACAACAAAGTTGTATAATGTTAGCATATTGTAGACAGATAGGGAAAGGAAACCCTTCACCCCGAGGAGTAAAGAGCTCACTCTGAGGCGGTGCAGCCCCTCCACAATCACTTAAAATGATGCACTGCATCCAACAAAGAGGAGCCTACATACTGCCAGCCCAGGGGAGCGACTGGACTAGTTCCATTTAAGAAGTCTTTCAACGGGGCCTCTATTTTTTTTTTTTTAATGGTTTCCAACAAATGTCTGAACACCGCTTGACTTCACTGTCCTTTCAAAGCATCAGGTACAGAAGGGGAAAAGGTTTTTTACACATCTGAGACAGGGCTGGTTTGATCAGTGCTCCCTAGAGTAACAGAACTTAGAGAATGAACTTGTATATATAGAAAGGGGATTTGTTAGAATGACCCTACAGGCACTGTTCCAGCTAATCTATCAATGGGTGCCTGTGGACATGAGATTCTGGAATCTGGTACTTGCTCAGTCCACAAGAAGTAATGCCTCAGCTGGTCTTCAATGTATTCTGGAATCCCAAAGAAGCTCCAATGCCAGTGAGTGTTGGAAGGCCTTGCTGGATGGTAGATGTTTTGGCTTCTTGACAACATAGAAACTCCCTCCCTCCCCAGCGAAACTTTCTCCCTCTACCTGACTTTATCTGGAGAATATCCCTGGGCCTGGAGGACTGCCATTATCTGAGAGCTTTCTCTAAGCCAAATGCATGATTCATCTTTAGCTGGAACCCTGACGCAGATTCCTGCTGAAAGGCTTTGCTAGCAACTCTGTTTACAGGACCCTACTGCCACATAGGAAGCCTTGTGATAGGAGCATGCCACTTAATGCAAATTTGAATTTATCCCCAGTCTCTCCGGACATGTCTTCCTTATACTCTGGGATAAAGTTGAGCGGGTTCACTGAAGTCTGTCTCCCAAAGGGCTGTCTCAGTCAAACCCACAGCTATCCTATCCCTGTTTCCCCTTCTGCTTCCTCCACCGTCATGGACCAATGCAGCCACAAGTCGGGAGATGGACTTGCTAGGGAGGGCTTCCCTCTTCCATGTCCTGTATGTAAGCTGCCAGGAGAAGGTGTGGTCCAGATTAAAGGGGAATGTTTCCTACCTCAAAAGATCTGGATTGGAAGTTTATCTTTCCAATTTAAAGATCTAGATTACACATGGGTCTTCCCATCTCAATTGATTTATTTAAAAAAAAAATCTTCACAGGTGTGTCCAGTCATTTGGGTTTTTGTTAATTCCACACGCTGAGAGATTGACAGCCAAGAATAGCTATCACAAGGGCTGATAACTAATATATAAAGAACTCGGAAATTGGAAATCAAGAAAACAAACAACCCAATTTTAAAACGGTGTCCATGTATAAAAACAGAATTATCAAGAGGGGAAGCACAAATGGCTGAGATGCACCTAGAAAATATACTCAAAATTTTAGTCACCACAGAAATGAAAGAAAACCAAAACTGCTTGAGATTTCATCTTACACCAGCCAGGATGGCCACGATCCAATAAAGCGAATGACAGCTCATGCTGGTGGGATGGGAAGCGAGGGGCACACCCATCCACTCTTGGTGGGAGTGCGAACTTGTGCAACCACTGTGGAAACCAGAGTGGTAGCCCTGAGTGAGATAACCCGGGCACAAAAGGACAAATGTGGTATGCATTCATGTATACGTCTTCAGTAAGCAGTCTATAGCCCACCCAAGCATAGAAGTTGGGTCAGAGTAAGGACCTAGGGGAGGGCTGCATCAGCTTAGGAAAAGGAAATGTGATGGAAGGAGGAGGCTGGGACAGGAGATCAAATGGGGAAGGGAAGGCAGGGAGGGAGGGAGCTAAAACCGAAGGCTGTCTGAGGGGTTGTGTGGGAAGGCAATACAGTACAAGCTACCTAAAATATGCGCATTTGTGAAGGTGATCTAAGCTGAATTGCCCAACAAAAGGGGAAACAGATCCCCAAATGGACATCACAAAATGAAGCTTCCAGTGCCAGGAACGAGTTACATGTAATCTCATCGTTGGCCAAAGGGGCTCCTTGGAAATCTCCAGACAGTCTAAGCTCATGCCAAGGCTTATACCACAAACAGTTGGTAAGGCGCTGTTGCTGAAGACAACACCCACACAACTCATTGGATATGGAGAAGTTGAGCTGGTGCTCACAAAGAGCCTTCATATCTACTGACTAATGTACACTGGAAGTTTCTTTGAAAACTACCAAAGGACAAGAGTAAACCCAACCCAGATACAAGTTCTTCAGTCTGCAATGGTGAGCTGCCTGAAAGATTTGACACAAATCTTGTGAGACTAATCAACCAATATCTTATTGGGTTTAATTAAGGTCCACTGAACCCACACCTGATACTGCTTAAGCGTCCAAGAACCAGAGATTGGACAGGCCAGGGACCTAGGGGCAAATCAAATACAATTATTTTGCTAAAGGAACATAGCAACAAAATGACTCCTAATGACATTCTGATATAATCATGGAACAGTGCCTTGCCCAGCCATCATGGAAGAAGTTTCTTCCTACGATAGAAATAAACACAGAGAGCGCCCCTTACCAGCAGGAAGTAGTTTGGAAAGAACCATGCCCAAATTCCCAAATATTGTCTATAAATGTTTGTTTTCATTTAAATGGACTTAGTTATAAAAAAAAAATAAACACAGAGGCCCACATCTGGACAAGGTAAGGAGAGTGAGAAACCATGCAACACTCAGTCCTAAGTGGGATGTCTCCATCAGTTCCCACCCCCTCACTGCTCAGAGTACCCTGAGGAAGAGGAGGAGGAAAGAATGTAAGAGTCAGCAAAGAGAGAAGACAGAGACCACCAAGGAGAGAAGTTGTTCCAAACACAGCAGGATCAATGCATACACGAGCTCATAGAGAATGTGGCATAGGGCCTGCACAGGCCTGGGCTCAGCCGTTCACAAAGAAAAAGTGACTTTCTTCAGTTGGGTCTCACTGGAGGCATGGACCACCTTTTAGGTCAGGCCCCATGGCCAGGAGTAGCTACCCAACACAAAATGAACTCAAGGATACTTTCAGAGGTTTGTTCGTTTGTC